GACTGGACCAGACAATACAGTAATTAACTGCATAAGCATCGATCTGCGCAATTGGGATACGATAACATGTGTCAACCAAGTCAGCGAGCTTGACCACCCGGTCCCATTAGTCACTCTTACGACAAGCATGGGCTACTTAAGATCAATTCTAACCCGGATCTTCACGGGTGACGTTTCAGAAAGGGAAAAGACACGGGAAGAACAATTGTATCACGCAGTAGAAGCACTCATGATGTACTCAAGTGACAAGTTCAATAGCGTAATAAAAGTGCCTTTCAATCAATTCTAACCCGGATCCTGTTGGACTGTATAGGATATAGTTTGGCGGATACCCAACGTTTTAGCGTAGGCCAGTGTGTCATTGCCTCATCCTTTCCCAAGTCAGAATACATCCGACACAAGCCATCATCCCAGCTGCTTGTTCTCTGCATCCGTGGTGTAATGGATAGAGTGTCTGCCCTGAGAGTGCAAGGTCCGTGGTTCGATCCCAGGCTGAATACGTCACTGTTGAAAGGAGGCATAGCGTATACTGCGGGTATCCACGTTTAACTGCACGGTATCTCATTGGGGTAGTATCACAAGGCAGGCATCATCCGGATAAGTACACATACTGAGCGTATCCTGCTCCACCCGTGGCACCCATTAGAAACGTATAGAAACATAAGTCAATTGTTCACCTGAGAAAAGACATGGAATATATTTTGTTTTGGCTGTTTGTTGTTTGAGCACTGCATTCTGGGATATTCCAGCCATATGGCGTTGGTCTGTAACAATCGAGTCTGGATCAGACAATCCAGTGATCAACACTATGTGCATCGATTCACGCAATTGGGAACCGATGACATGTGTCAACCAAGACAGCGAACCTGACCACCCGATCCCGTTAGTCGCCTCTTACGACAAACCTGGGGCACTGAAGACCAACTCTAAAACGGATCTTCACGGGTATGGGAATATATGGTTCAAGTCAAAATTAGGAATTGTATGAGACATAATGGTTGTCGTCAATGCGTCAAATTTGGAACTGTCCTTGACATGTCACATAAAGCCTTTTAAACTCTACTGAGGCCTTGAGTGTCCTAACCTTGATGAAACAAACCAGACAGAGTCGTATTACCCTCTTTGAAATCGTTGTAGGAAGAGCATGCTCCAATCTCCAATGCTGTGAAGTGTAGACCCAAACGGCTGGAGTTTCTGAAGTAGGGCCCAACATACAGAGCCAGATGACTATTGGAATGTCACTCCTCAATTCGGAGTGGTATGGGCATTTTTCTGACACTTCCGAATCTCAATTTATGCATCGATCTAAATATGGAGCAGACACAAGTGTCCATTTATCCGGTAATTAATCACAAGCTTAAACATCTTGGACAAAAATCGTTTCAAAGATGCCAAATGCACCGGTTTATCTTCAGAAACGAATCACTCGAGTGCCCTCTCATTTCCAGACCCTGCATATCTGCTTTAATATCAATGATCATGGATGATTCGGTAAATTCACTTCAGCATTGAACCACTCTGTCCACATTTCTCAATTCAAATCCTCCTCCCGAAGATGTGCTACGTTAGGTTCCCTTTACAACTCGTTCTAGGATTCATAAAAATATAATTATATACCCTACTATGACAAATGAAGAAAGATTTTGAGTGTGCAACGGTAGGAGTATTTTTGATAGCATCGGGACAATCTTTTCCATACTCCAGGAAAACTGAGATACAAAACGTTTTTATAAATCGTATTGCTTATCAGAATAAAAATTTAGGGTGGATGATCGATTGGATACCCACAAACCATGACCGAAAACCGACACTTGTCTGTAAACACTAAATAAACTACCGGGCAAAACAAAGTTATCACTTTTAAAGAAATTGTATATGAAAACGGTAATCAAACTCCCACCCTACTGGCGCCAAACTGAACTCAAGAAGTTCATCCGTTCGATGGAGAAGGCGTTATGGTATGGGGAGGCACTTGCGGTCAGAGAACAACAACACTGGTTATCATCCGAGGAATCCTGAATGCGCAGCGGTGCAGGGATGAAGTGTTGAGACCTAATGTGGTGCCCTTTATTAGATAACAGCCAAGAGGAGTCATTTTGCAGCACGAAAACGAAAGACTTTACACCGAGAATACCTGTACAACGTTAACGTCAACGTATTGCCTTGGTCATTAACCCAATTGAACATCTCTGGGATCATTTTGAACGTCAGCTGAGACAACGTGTACCACCTCCAGCGAACCGACTGGAACTTGAACAGACTGTCTTGGACTTGTGGAACAGGATTCAGGAGTGATGGCGTCAATGAGGAGACGTGTGTTGGCGTGTATGGATGCCAACGGTGGTCACACTCGCTATTGATGACGTGCCCCTTGACTCCTTTCTCAACATGTGACGCTTACGCACTTTTTGAATGAACTTTGATTTGTGTAAGTTTTTATTTTGACCCCATGACTCTTTCTTAATGAATTGCGGCAAAGGCAGGACCAGCATTAGAACGAATTTACTTTCAAGTTATTTGAAAATGATTTCTGTTTGTAAAATAATTATCATAAATCTCACATACGTCTTCATTTCTATTTTTGGTCAAATGAAGTCGGTGATAACTTTCTTTTGACCGGTAGTTTATGAATGTATATGCTATGGATACCGTTCACATAATCCCCCTATACTCCAAATTGACGCCGCGGCCATTTTGAAACTGAAAACGAGGCTTAGTCCGCAAGCGGTAAGGATGGCGTGGTCGAAGAATCTGGAAAGTGTTCCAGTTATTTCTCCAGAATTTATTGAGGTGGGCTAATGATACATGTAGAATACCCAGACGGAAGCAGAAAAAGGATATTGGTTATTTGTGGAGGGCTACACTAACTAATAAAAGGACAAATGTATACTAGCCACATAAAGAAACTGTGCATTGTCAAAATATTATCCCAGTTGATAAGTACGATAACAATGTCAAAGGTACATATAAACTTTAATGGAGGGATCATGAGACCATAACAAGTCAGGAGAATTTCAATTGAAAAGTCAATCACAATGACGTCACGAGTCCACATGCGGGACAGGGGTCAAACGACTAAGTCACAAGCTCAATAACGGGTATGTCCACCATCGGCATTGAGAACAGAAGTGCATCGACGACGCATAGAGCCTATCAAACGTGCAAGGAAGGCTTGTTGGATGACACGCCAGATTCTCTCAAGTTCTGTTGCAAGGTCAAGGTCGTTATCTGGCGGATGAGGAAGACGGCGTAGACGTCGATCCATCTCGTCCCAAACAGGCTCTATCGGGGAGAGATCCGGTGAATTTGCAGGCCAAGGCAGTAAGTCAACGTTGTGGTGTCGCAAGAAATCCATAGCAACCCTTGCCGTATGAGGGCGGGCATTGTCCTGTTGGAATGTTAACCCAGGGCCATGACGTTGCAGAAAAGGAATTGCCACAGGTCGAAGAATCTGATCCCTGTAGCCAACACCAGTTAAGTTGCCCTGAACAATCACCAAAGGAGTTCTTTGGCGTGCTGTTATTCCACCCCAAATCAACACGGAACCACCACCAAAGCGATTCCTCTCCAAGACACAGGCCTGTGCATAACGTTCTCCCACGCGTTGGCACGTTGACGTCCATCACTATGGGAAATGTTAAACCTGGACTCATCTGTAAAACAACATTTCTCCACCAAAAAAGGGTCTGCGGGCATGATTTCGGCACCACATTCGGCGAGCTTGTCGATGACGTTGTGTCAGGATAGGCCGTATGGCGGGACGTCGTGGTCTGATCCCGTGATGACGTAAACGTTGTCGAATTGTGTTGGGGTGGATACGGCGAAGTCCTGGGATGGTTCGGGCAGTCATCATTGCAGTCTGAAACCTGTGGCGAAGATGGGTCACCCTTATCTATCTGTCCTGTCTTGGCGTTGTTACACGTGGACGTCCAGAACGTGGCCGATCGATGATGTCATTTGTGTTCTGGTAGCGTCTCACCAGTGCAGAAATGGTGTTCCGGTGGCAGTGGAAATGTGCAGCCACTTGTCGTTGACACATTCCCCCACGGACCATCCCAATGGCCTCATGACGTTGTGCAGACGTGCGCCGTGGCATGCTATGCGTTTCAATAGCCGTTTAATTTTTTGAACGATCGCAAGGGCAGGTGTTGAGCTTTCCAAAGTGACAGTATTGTGTGGCATTCATTTGCTCTGTTGCAAGTGCAACAACGTATTGCACGTCTCAAGGAAGAACCCACTGACGTCACGGAACGTGGCACGTGATTGCATGTTGGATACATGTCACTAATCTCTGAGTTTAAATCCTTATGTGTCTACACAGGTTTGATAAATTTAGATTTTAAATTTTTGTATGCACAGTTTCTTTATGTGCCAAGTATACATTTAACGGAATGGTAGTGAGCGAGTAACTATCTGAATAGTATTTTACGACGCAATATTTTAGTTACATTATGGTAACAGATGAATATTACTTGCATTTACCAAGCAATCAACTGATTGATATAATGAGAAAAGGCTAAATTTTTTTTTATAAAAAAGACAAATAAAAATTAATAAATTGAAAACTGTCTGGTTTAAATAGTAGATGTCTGGCTAGACAAGGTTTTCGTCTTGGAAAACATGATGTGAAAAAAATCAGTTATAACAATTGAAAGAGGTATATGTTGCGAAGAGGTAACCAAAATCTTTACTGTTACCCTGAATGTCACATGGTACAAAAACTTGCTCTATATCGTCACAACGACAAACGTAATCTTGGCTTAATCGCGTAAAGACTTCACACGTTGACCTAGGCATGGAAAAGCTTCAAGTTTCATTGTCTATCCGTGCCGATAACTGACAGGAAAGGAACGTTTGTTGTCATCTGTCATCACAAACAAATATCACTTATTTGTCTGTGACAGGTATTCACAACCTGAACAAGAAATACATGCATTTATGACAGATTACAATAGCTGGAAATAGCATACACATCGACCTTGTAAGAAGACTTGACCTACCTCAACATGCCTTGTTAACACGTAGAACCAAGCCGCCCTCACTGCTTTCCCACAACACAGTATTGCCGCTGCCGACTGTGATATTTACAGCACTAAACCACACTACGCGATATTGAACTATTTGAGTTCACCGTGTTACGTTAGCCATTTTTCTCTGTGGGGGATCATTCAGACCCGAGCATTGATAACATCCGGGCAATGTGTCGTTTGTTTACTGGCAGTGATTACGACGGGTGCGACAGCGACCAGCCAGTCTGCCCCGGGTGCTCGGTCAGGATTGATTGTACCAATCGAGTTGGAGGACAGTGGGTCGAAAAGACATTGTGAACGTTTTTTTGGTACTGATGGACGGTAGTCGATAATGGGGTAGGTTAAATGTTTTTCATCTGAACAACCATTGTTAGATCTGATTGCACATGTAATATTGTCACATTCATGTGCGTGTACAGCTGTATGTCTGGGATTTTTGTGTTGGAACGTTTGGGTTTAACTAAAAGCACAGGATCCTACTTTGGGAGGATGTGTCCATAATTATTTTTTTCTTAAATAGAATGGTTTTAATTGTCTTACATATGAATGATTCCCGTGACTATCCAGGTAAGAGTTGGTCTTCAGCCACCCATGTTTGTCACAAGAGGCGACTAACGGGATCGGGTGGTTGGGTTCGCTTACTTGGTTGATGCATATCCCATCCTAATTGCGTAGATCGATTCTCATGATCACAACCACCGAATTGTTTTGTTCAAACTCAATTATTTCGAATCCACCGTCATATACTGCCGCTTGCAGCGTTACATGACAAACAAACAAACGAACAAACAAACGAACCTATGGCGATGACAATTACAAGCGCAGGTTCACATTCTGGAGCACCGTATGGAAAGACACTTTTATTACGCTATTGAACTTGTCACTTGAGTACATTATTAGTGCTTCGACTGCGTGATACAATTGTCCTTCCCGTGTCTTTTCCCTTTCTTAAAGGTCACCCGTGAAGATCCGGGTTAGAATTGATCTTCAGTAACCCATGCTTGTCGTAAGAGGCGACTAACGGGATCGGGTGGTCATGCTCGCTGACTTGGTTGACACATGTTATCGTATCCCAATTGCGTAGATCGATGCTCATGCTGTTGATCACTGGATTGTCTGGTTCAGACTCGATTATTTACAGACCGCCACCATATAGTTGGAATATTATTGCTAGGTGCAGCGTAAAACTAAACTCACTCACCAACGTCTTAAACGTCAACGACGATCAAGTAAAAGGAGTGAGCGCATGTTGGTTTACGCTGCAGTCAACGACATTCTATCTGTATTTTAGTAACGAACCACGGGCAATATAGTTGTAGTGAGTGAGTGAGTTAGGGTTGACGCTACTTGTAGCAATACTTTACAGCAACACCACAGCGGGGGACACCAGAAATGGGCTTCACACATTTCTCACATTGTGAGGAATAGAACCCGGGGATATTTTCTATGACAGTTTGACTCCTTTGAAATGAGCAGAAAACAATTAAAACAAAGTTTTAAACGTTTCTAAAAAATACTTTTCAACAGATCCAAAGGTTTTCAAACATCTTTGAAAATCTTTGGCAAGTTAAATTTTGGGGGTTAGTTCTCCTTTAAGATACTTCAAGAGGATTATCTACATGACAATTACGTGTTCGAGTTCTTTTTAAAAATAGAAATTCTCGCACTGTTACCGCAGTCACCGAGGACGAAGACAATGGACGTTCGTTTGAAGTCACATTATGATTTATGTTGATAGCGTCGAAGTCAGTGGGGTCTCGTATGCACACGACACAGTGGAATTTTATTGTCAGTGGGGGGAGGGGGGTAGACAGCAGGCGATCGCTTTAAACTGCACACAATCCATTACATATGTGTACATGCAAACATACAAGTAGATAGATAGGACTGTAGCCTTACCAATTTAACTCACTTGTCTCACAAACAAACGACTAACAAAATGTTTCAGTTACTTGCTCATAAAATGTTTTTTCGTTCTTTCACATTTGTTTTCCTTCTCCATCCGTTATTGTCATCTTTTTGCACCATCGCTGGTAGATTGTTAAAATATGAGTAAAATAAAACTCCTTTGTTATCCACGAACCACAGAAATGTTATAACGAAATTTGAGAGTGTGTTTAATGGCTTAACATTTAAAAAAATATATATACTACTAATAGAAAACTGTATGTGAATGCCACGTATCACACAATACCATGACTCATATATCATGTAACCTTTTATATAAGCAAACCCGATGAAGTTCATACACATACATCCATGCTTTGAGCCTTGGACATACATCAGAGATGGTTAAAGTTTACTTCGGCCTGAAAAATATTTGTCTATTTTATATTCTTAAGATTTAAAAACATTTTTATCAAATTTAGGCTTGGTTTGTTAGATATAATGATAAAAGAAGGCAGGAAAATGTCCATAGATAAGAACAGGAGAATGTGTCCGTTATGTAAATCAACTTTATGCAAGTTTGTCCATCCTACTCAATTCTCAGAAGGAAATACATTCAACATCCGTTTTTGTCAAAAACTCTTACTTTAGCTTTTGCACCCCTGTTGTCTTCTCAAAATGATAATGATATTCTTAATCTGTCACTATGTATCAAACATAGTATGAGACAAAGAAATGAACTGTTAACAATTAAAAATGCTAAAATGAGATTTTACAATTGCCTGTCATTTTGTTCTCTCCATTATGTGCATTGTATATTACCTGTATATTGTATATTATTTACAAATGTATGTTTGTATATGGGCCGGAGGCCTTAAATGCAATAAACTCTTTAAACATTTTTGACTTGGTAGCAATGCAATGAATAATAACCTGTGTATTCTATACCTCTATGGGACGCCGCGTGACTCCATTCGTTGTAATTGCAATTCCATGGCATATATTTCCATATCATGTTTGTTGGTTGTTCCGTAACTGTTCATTGAAACAGACTCTGATAGTACATTTCTGTACTGATGGTTGACAACCAGGTTTCATGGTGGCTTACAAACAAACAACAAATGTTTTTTCGTAGGTGATGTTTTTGATACCACTATCATAATTGTGTTTTAGATTTCAGTGATCGCAGTTTAGTCTGCGGACCAAATTTTGGTTCAGCACGCTGATGGTCCAGGCTCGATTGCCAACATGGTCATAATGTGTGAAGCCCATTTCTGGTGCCCCACTGTCGTAATGTTGCGGGAATATTGCTAAAAGCGGCCACATTCACTCAGATTCTTGTAAATATTATACAACAGCCATTATAGGGAGTCGTCATACTGCTTCAAAGTCGCCAATCAGCTCTTCGAATTTCTTAAAAGACAAATACTTGAAAATTAAAGCACCTGCTCTTTCCTAACTTATTAGTAATAAGCAACAGTGCGTTCAATTTAGAGTTGAGTTTGATGAGAATGCAGATAACGTACCGAGCAGCCAATATGATCTATATCTATCTGAACTAAATATGTCGCCTATAGCGCTGTGGTGGTCTGCTCAATCTGATAACAAGGATTATTTATTCTTTTCATTACATCGTTAAGAAACCCTTTCTGAATTTACAAATATTTGAACGTGCTGTATCCTAATACCTAAGTTAAGAGATCTGTCAACAGTATGGCAAGGTTTGCTAGTTCCATGGATGACATAGTGGTTAAAACATCGAACCTCTCACCCACACTGTTGTGGAAAACTGGGTGGGTGAGAGGTTCGACATTTTAAGGCTTTAACATATTTTTCGTAAACACCCGTGGGCGTGAAACCAGTAGAGATAACTGCTATCAAATATATACTCGAGATCGGTTTACAGGCCCGTGATTGGCTACTCCTCGATAGTGACCTAAGGTCAGATTACGACAGACTACTTTTCCTGTTAGTCTTTGATGCCTGTTTGTACTTCAGTCGAGTTAAGCAGTGGATTCGTCGCAACCTTAGGGTTTTTGAGCGTTTAATAAATGTTCTAAATGATCTAGTGTTTACTATAAATAACGCCGTGACAATCTATGGGTATGGCTGAAACGTTTTTGTGGTGTGCTGCAGTAGCTATGAGTACTATACCGGGTAGCGTCATTCATTGCTGTTGCGGTATAAATGCCGCGCGTGAGAACAGACAAAATATGCATTCAATTAGAAATGGTAGTGAGTTTATAGTGTGTACGAAACAATAATAAACTCCTGCCTCTCACATACCATACTGCATCCATAAGATAAGATAATTAAGATAATTACTATACAGCTAGTAATAATTATTAAATACTTTATTTTGTCTCAATGACTACCTCTCCTGTCACTAAAGATAATCTAACTGACTCTAAAACACTAAACACACAATTGACGAGCTTGTCGTCTCAACTTAACTTATGATAATCAATCACTTTCCACTCATGCATCCTACAGAAGAGAAGTTATCCCCTTTGTTTAGACTATCATCAACTCTTAAACATGTATTCACAAAGTGAAAATATTTTATTTCGTTTTCTATCAAAATATTGAGTGAAATTGGTTTTGACGACCCTTTCAAAGGTAATTGAGTTGTCGCGTGTCAGCATGAGGTGGGGGTAAATGTCGAATTCTAGTGAGTGAGTGAGTGAGGAGTGAGTGAGTGAGTGTGGTTTTAACAATATTCCAGCAATATCCCGGCGGGGAACACCAGAAATAGGCTTCACACATTGCACCCATGTGGGGAATCGAATCCGGATTTTCAGCGTAGCGAGCACTCGCTTAAAGCACTAGCCTACCCCAATTTCAAAGTAAACACATATTGTGAGTGTCCTAGACGTGTACTCACAGACAACAGCATGGTGGTGAGAAACCTAGAAACATACTCAGGTCTAACTGGGATTCGCCTCTAGACTACTGAACCGCCCTTGTATGATTCGATTCACCAAAATATTATTATATTCTGATATGTTTCATCTGTGCCCAGAGCGATAATCCGGTTTCTAATGTTAAGATATAAAACAACCCAACATGTTCCTTTCAGTTAAAAAACTTCATACTGAGGAAGTGATTTCTGTCTTTTGTTTCTAGGGACGGCACCGGTGCCCCCTTTGTGTTCTCCTCCCCTCCTTCGGTGCCAAGGGAGAGAGGGGGAGACATTCTGGTGAAGATCCAAGCGGTCAGTTCCAGCA